GTATTTTCCCTTTAACTCAGGAGATGCATGTAGCATGTTTTATACTTCATGTGAATATAATTCATTTAATTATGCAATATGTATACTTTGTTGGCATCTTATTCTGAAAACCGGATGTTCGTCTGTAGAAAACCGGAAGTTGTCTCACGTTAATCTTTCCGCTAACTTTGCAAAGTTCTTCGCTCGCTCCCGATCTGTGCCGTTTGGTTGCGTTTACCGTAGGTTTCAGCGTATATGTGCACTACAATTTAAGTGTCTGCTGACTTGACCGCAGTGTGGTGAGGGCCAATCACAACTCGACATTACAACATTATTAACCTGAGATACCTTCGGTTTCAGACAGACAGACAGACAGGCCGACAGAGAGACAATTAGACATAGGGATAGACAGGTGAACAGTCAGGCAAGTGGATAACAAATTAACAGAAGGGAACACAACTGGGGGAAAGGTAAATATGTAGAGTGACTGTAGAACAGGTTAGGATTCAAACTGCCGACAGAGATGTTCTCGTTTATGTAGCGTGTCCTGTTCAGAAGGGACGAGGTAACGTGTGTTGGACGTTGAAGCAAGGTTCTAACAGGCTGTAGACACAGTCCGACACCCACGGCGGTTAGCATGCCAAGCTAATTTCAGTACACCTGTAGCACAGCGACCCCACAAACCTCTGGCCTGAACCCCAGCAGTAAGAGACTTCCAAGAAGGTCTTAACCGTCCCTCTGGTGTTGTCTCCTGGATGCTTTCATTACCTCGCATCCATCACTCTTATGGAGATAACGAAGTGATACAGAAAACAAAGAAAAGCTTGTGTAACGTGTTAATACATGAATGTGAATCTGTTAGCTTCAGTAAGCAGTCTTTACAACACGCATTTGTAGTAATAATACAAATTTTGACATTAAGTTAATCATCCAATTCAGCCAGACCCTGAATGCTTCAATTATTAAGCTGTCTTCTTGTTTCTATTACTCTTCTTCTCTGCTGCATCCCAGGAGTTAAACTATACGAAACTGCAGTAATGCAATTGGTTGAATTTGGCAAACAGTTGGTTTAAAGTAATCTACGGGACGTGCAACGCAACATTATTTCTGAATGGAACATCTGAATGTGAAGCCGAGGACATTTTGGACAGACATGTACCGTATTTTCTGCACTATAAGGCGCACTTAAAAGCCTTTAATTTTCTCAAAAAATGACAGTGCGCCTTGTAATCCGGAGCGCCTTATATATGGATCAATTGGTTAATTGGTTGATCTATACTGGTTGTACACGGCGCTCTGTCAAAATGTTTCAGTACGACTGGTAAACTGCAAAGCCGCACCGCTTGCAGCATTACGGCTACCGTAGTCAGGGGCGTCGCCGAAGTAATAGCGGTACGCCGAAGTAATAGCGGTAAACACCGGTACTGTGCTTACTCCTAGTCCAACACCACTTGTGTGTATAAAGACCCCAAAATGGCACCTTTCAAGAGACACGCTTACGACGCTGAGTTCAAACTCAAGGCTGTCAGCTACGCAGCCGAACATGGGAATAGAGCAGCAGCGAGAGAATTCAACATTAATGAATCAATGGTACGGAAGTGGAGGAAGCAAGAAGATGACCTGTGCCAAGTAAAGAAGACTAAAAAGAGTTTCCGAGGGAACAAAGCGAGATGGCCACAGTTAGACAAACTCGAACAGTGGGTTGTTGAACAGTAGTAGCTTCTATTCTATGCGCCTTATAATCCGGTGCGCCCTATATATAAAAACAGTTCTAAAATAGGCCATTCATTGAAGGTGCGCCTTATAATCCAGTGCGCCTTATAGTGCGGAAAATACGGTAGTCTTTTCACTTCTGAGTGAGTCATGCCTACCATCTAGTGTTCGGAGGAGGAAGTGACACATGTGATCATCAGGTGATTCTGCAGGGAGATGCATAAGATCAATACGTATGCTTATGTCCACACGTCCTGCGTGTATGGTCCGCCACATAAGGTGCCATCCCAAACCAATTAACAGGGAGACTTAAAGAAAGTGCATAGTGTGGGTATAGGGCTGCAGGGATGATGTATTTTTGTAGGTATCTCACTGGTTTCCTCAACAAAGAACCCAATGGGGATTTTTTCCATTTTTCCATGTAAGCTTCAAAATTCACGAGTTCCTTTTTACCGACGGATTCTAAGCTTGTTTTAGCCACAGATCTTATTTCAGGCATCTAACCAACAACCCATTGACGAGACAAGAGAAACTGTGCAACCGTGCAGACTCATTTCCTGGTTTTAGGACTCATTCCTGCAGCGCTCTACAGGACCCCGTTCTGAATGTCTGTGTGACAGTTCACGGTTTACCGTGTGGAATTAGGAGTGGATCAGAGACTCAGGCGCAGACTTAGACACAGGACACAAGGTGAGGTGAATTGCAAGGCTCTTTACTGGGCATCAAGCAAACAAAAATAGAATCCAAAAACAACTCCAATAGGGAGTGAGAAAAATCCAAACTGAAAATAAAAGGCAAAGTCACAAAAGGGCTTGGTCACCAAAAGCACAGACACAAACCGTGGGGCGCAGAGGGTCAACACGAGGGAATAACCACAGGAGAGCGAAGAGTCCACGGGAAGGGAAAAGGAACAAATGATAATCCGGCAACTGGAACAGGGCAAGCAGGGGAGTATAAGTCTGTGAGGGGTGATGAGCGGATTGCTGGCAGGTGAGTGGAAATGAGTGGGGTTTGCAGAGGAAAAAACCAGGGGCAGGTGATTTGGCACAGGTGAAGAGAATGAGCATGATCAGGAGAGAGACACACACACACAAACACCACACTCACACATAGCAAAACCCAACCGTGACAGTCTGTCCGGAACAACATTTTTCAAATATCAACAGTACAACCATTTAAGGAAGAATAAAGTTAATTACTTTTATTAAAATTTGAACATTTAAAAAACACCAAAAATACATTAACTTAGTGGGTTTTACAGATCCATTGTGCAGTAATGTAGATGAGAAATACTTTACTTTTAAAAACACATTACATACGAGTCAAGGCATTAAGGCATTTAGACAAAGACGCAATGTTTCTTTTCTGATGTCACTAAAACCCAAACCCGTGTTCAAAAATATTTACAGATGATTCACGACTTCTCTGTAAAACAGTGACTACTATCAATACCAGACAAATTTCAATTCAACTGAAGCCTTCTAAAGTTACCATGGTGACATACAGTATTCATTTTGAGTTCATTTAAAAAAAACTTTATTTTTTAAGTATTTGGGAGCAGCGCGCTGCTGTGAAGCGCCCAGGGAGCAGCTTTGGGTTCAGAGTGTCGCTCAAGGACGCTTCCAACATGGAGACATGAGGAGCCAAGGATCCAACCGCCAACCTTGTGGTTAAAAGATGACCCACTCCACCCACTGAGCCCCAAACTCAAAAAGGAAAAAGATGATTTTATTTACATTGAAGACCATAACATTTATAACTAGAATTAGCTCCTCGTGGTTGTATGCCTCCGCCAACCAGTCTAGTTGCAGTTTACATCCATGTCTGTCGAAAAAATGTCAACACATAATTTTATCCAATTACATATTCATGTGAAATGGACCGGACAGACGGACGAACCCAAAAACATACCGTCTCCAACCTCAACTGTCAGTTGCACGAAGGAACAAACAAAGACAATTCAAAGGGGAACTCTACTGATCTAGACAGCATATGAATAACATCTGTAGCCTGTTCCTCATCTCTGTCTGAGGCTAACAGATTGAGGCTACGTTATTAGCTGCTACTAGCACACCAAAAACATTTGGCGGTGTTGAATGGTGGGTAATGTAGGCTCAGAATTTGACAAGGAAGAATACATGGAATAAAAAAAGATTAAATCTCTGGTTCTGCTGCATCGATTTGTTTTTTAACTGTCAACCGTGAGTCCGACGAGTGCAATGCTAATTCGGTAAAAGGAATTTACTCAAAGGGCCAGTAGTAATTCATTTACTTTCATCAGAAGTACGGCGTATCCAATCCTGCTGGGTTTTTAAGCAGAGGAACTTTCCTCGTCACTTGTGTGCACACTCTTGTGCTTGTTGAGTTTTGACCAGGTGGAGAACTGTTCCCCACAAGTACTGCATTTGTAGGGCTTCTCCCCAGTGTGCATCCTCATGTGGCCTTTCAAGTTGGATCTGTGACCGAACACCTTGTCACACACGTCGCAAACGTACGGCTTTTCCCCCGTGTGCGTCCTACTGTGCCTTCTCAAGGTGGTCAGGGCGGCAAATCTTTTCTTGCAAGAGGTGCACTTGAAGGGCTTCTCCCCCAAATGCACTCGCCGGTGATTTTTGAAGGCCGAGGAATCCGCAAACTCCTTTCCGCAGTCGCCGCAGGTGTAGGGCTTCTCCCCCGTGTGAATTCTCGTGTGCTTCTTCATGTTTGCACTCGAGGTGAAGCTTTTATCGCAGATGTCGCACTTGAACGGCTTTTCCCCCGTGTGCACCCGAAGGTGCAGGTCGTGGTTGAACTGCCGGTTGAACTCTTTCCCACACACATTGCATTTGAAAGGCTTCTCGGCGGAGTGAACCACTAAGTGTTTATTCAAGTCCCAACTCTCCCTGAACATTTTCCCACAAGTGTCGCATTTGAAAGCCTTTTCCACAGTGTGGGATTTCATGTGAAATTTGTAGTTTTTGAAATTCGTCATCACCTTGCCGCACCTGTCACACTTGTAAGGGTTGTCATCATCCTTGATGCTACCGCCTGATGTTCTCCCGTCTTTCTGATTTGGTGTTGGGTCAGTACTGACGTTTGATGTTGTGCTCTTACTTTTATGTTTCTCACTTTGTGTTTGTCTTGTACTTCTGGTTGATGTTGTAGCTGCAATGGTTGATGTTGTCCTCTCGTACCTGCGTCTCTTATTTGGGGTTGGGTCAGTACTTCCATTTGATGTTATGCTCGCATCGTTTTGCCTCTTATTTGGTGTTGCCTTTGTACTTGATGCTACTTTCCCATCCTTGGGTTTCTTATTTGGTGTTTCCTTTGTACTTGTAGTTGACGTTACTTTCCCATCGTTGGGTTTCTTTTTTGTTGTCGGTTTAATACTTGTGTTCTCACTGTTACAATTCATATTTGCTGTTGGCTCAATACTTCCAGTAGAAGTTGTATTCCCACCATTGGGTTTCTCGTTTGGTGCTTGTTCAGTACTTGCAGTTGGTGTTATTGTCCCATCATTGGGTTTACCATTTGCTGTTGGATCAGTTCTTTCAGCTGATGTTGTCTTCTCATTGTTACATTTCTGACTTGGTGTTGGCTCACTATTTCCACTTGATATTGGTGCAACATCATTGCATTTCTCCTTTGGTGTCGGCTTGGTGCCACTGGTTGATGTTGTCTTATTGTTGCCTTTCTTAGTAGGTGTTAGCTCGGTTCTTCTGGTTGACGTTTTATTCCCATCGCTACGTTTCTTACTTTGTGTTGGCTCAACACTTCCAGTCGAGTTTGGTCTCACATCTTGGCTTTTCGTATTTGGTGTTGGCTCACTATTTCCTTTTGATATTGGGTCATCATCATTACATTTTTCGTTTGGTGTCTGCTTGGTGCCTCTAGCTGATGTCTTAACGTTACATTTCCTTTTTGGTGTCGGTTCTGTACTTTTAGTTGATGTTGTCTTCTCACCATTATGTTTCTTACCAGGCATTAGCTCAGTACTTCTGGTTGATGTTTTTTTCCTGTTGCTACGATTCTTATTTGGTGTTGTCTCAGCATCTGTATTCGATGTTACGTCTTTGTCATTGCATTTTTTATGTGGTGTTGTTTTAGTAGTTGATATCTTTTCATTGTTAGATTTCTTATTAGGTGTTGGCTCAAAACGTCCAGTTGAGGTTGGCATTCCATCTTCCCTTTTCTTATTTGGTGTTAGTTTACCATTTCCTGTTGCGGTCCCATTTGAGGTTGAGCTCTCATAATTATCTTGCCTATGTGGTGTTGGCTCAGTACTAGTTACTAATGTTTTTACATTATCAATTTTCATATTTGATGTCTGCTCAGTGGGCCCATCCCCATTTGATTTTGCATTACCATCACCAGTCTTGTGTGGTGTTGTTTCAAAACTTCTGATTGACGTTGTGTTCTCATCATGTTTCTTAGTCAGTGTTTGCTCACTATTTCCACTTGATGCTGGGTTGTCATTGTTATGTTTGTTATTTGGTGTTAGCTCGGTACTTCTAGTTGATGCCATGTTCTCATTACCACATATCTTATTTGATGTTTCCTCGGTGCTTGTAGCCGGTGTTGTGTTCTCGTCGGTGCTTTTCTTATTTGATGTTTCCTCGGTGCTTGTAGCCGGTGTTGTGTTCTCGTCGGTGCTTTTCTTATCAGAAGTTTCCTCGGTACTTGAAGCTGATGTTGTGTTCTCGTCGTTACTTTTATTATTTGGCGTTGACTCAATATGTCTAGTTGGCGTTGCATTGTCGTGGCTACTAGTTATTGGATCTTGGCTCTCAACTCTCACACGAGAGCTGGGAGAGAGGAGCTGGTGGTCAGTGCTTGGTGCTGATGCTGCAGAACTCTGCTTGTCAGATTCAGATAATATGTCTCTGTTTGAGGTGCTGGATTGGTGATCGTTATTTGCTGCGCTTTCAGTTTGGTCAGGGTCCAAAGGCTGAGATTGGACACCTCCCTCACAAGTTGAAGTCAATTTAGAGGCTTCAGTCTGCCGTTGCTGTGCAAGCTTCTGTCGTTCCTGACTAATGCACATTTCCTCATGTTCCTCTTTAATCGGTGGAGGATCTGATGGAACCAAACTTGTACTCGCATCCTGTTGCAAGGGCTGCTGCTGAATAAGCAGAACCTCCTCTTCCTCCTTATGGACACAAATCTGTAGAAGCTCTGAAAGGAAGGACAAAGAAATGGTGAAATGTTGAAAACATATAAGCCTATATTTAAAAGTTATGATTAAAGGTCTTTACACACTGTAACAAACAGCACAAAATTGCAAGATGCTCTCCCTCAAATATTATGTGGGCTTTTATTGTGAAAGGGACAGAAGCGGTGGATCTGGCCTGCGCGGCCAATTTTTGTGTGTATATAGATCTAGATATATATAGATCTAGATCTATAGATAGATCTAGATCTAGATCTA